GTGTGTTTGTGTGTGCGTCTGTCAAGCTTTTTCATCTAATACAAAAGCTACAGGGCTGAAACTTTGGGATCTCGACCTATATACACGTACGGGCCCCAATCCCCAAAATGGTACCCACTTAAAAGCCCGCCAAAGTTTTTTACGGGCAAGTTCATAACTCGGGGATTTGAGAAGCTAGAAAGATGAAATCTCCGGGGGATGCGCTGGCCAATTATTCTAGCTGCACATCTCTTTATGAACAGCTCTTTCTGGTCAAACAAACAATGATCTGTACTAACTAAGGAAAAATACGTAAAATCATTGTTTGGGAACGTCAAAAGTGCAAGTAAACTGTACTATAACTCAGCAAAGAATCTCCCCTTTCTCCTACAGATGCCATTTTTTCGTCGATAAGTTCAATAACTACCATTCTCCTCTTTATCAAAACCCCTAAATCAAAGCTTAAAATTCCTTCACCGTGCACCAATTCGCCAGAAAAACATTCGATAGTGGCCTAAAAAAAAAAAAATGAAAGCAGCAACTATCCACTGACAAAACTACTGATGGATTCTTGCTTTTCATAATTGTTTGAGTAGAAATATGAAGGCGGTTTGACTCCTTGGCGTACTAGCACACTAATAGCAGTAACTTCCAACGATTTTCCTACACGTAAATTCGAATCATCGATTTCCCACACGTAAATTCTTGTATAACAGAAAACGTACTTACAACAATACACGAATTTTGCCAAATTTTAAACAATTTACTAAAATGAATAATTTCTTCCCTAGAGAAATGTGGCTGAAGTCAAATTCTATGGCCACAAAAGCCATTTTTTGGTTAGAAAAAGCTACTTTTTAGTTGGAAAGAAGTTATAGTTTTACCCATAAATGCAGCGTATGCATAGCACGAGAGACGTGCAGTCGAAGATGTGCATTCCGAACAGCCAAATAAATGATGAAGTTTATCGAACATGCCGAACATCACCGAACGTGTGGTTGTTCGTTGGATCAGCGGTGGCAACACTCCCCTGTATAGCAACCAGCATCCCTCGCTTCTTAGCTGTAAGGTTCCATAAACATATCTGTGGTAAATTAATACAAAATTATATATATATATATATATATATATATATAAGGTTGGATGAAATTTTGTTGAAAAATGTAAGGATGATAGAAAAGATAAAAAAGGTAAAAAAGGGGAAGATGTAAAAAAGAAGCAGTATTAAATTAGGTAAGAATGTTTCGGTCCATTAAGTCGTATACATTTCTTACCGTTACCACGGTTGGACCTCTTATATTACATGGGTGGTAGGCACTAACTGGAGGTATGCAGCTCAAAATCGAAGAGCCAGGCATAGCTGTATCCGACGTGTAAGAGCATCCGAATAAAATTACTGCTTTGGAATATCCAT